ATTTGGATAAGATTTGACTTTAAATGTCGATGATGAACCGATTTTATTACCAAAATAAATGCATACAATTTTGATTTTACATCCCTATAACAACAAATTTCGTGTATTGACTTTATAAACACGAAAAATATTATAAAAATAATTTTCTCGAATCAGATAAATATAGTGGATTACAATCACTATTTCTCCTCTGATTCTTCTCCTGAACAATTTAAGTCTTTGAGCGAAATCTTCGGCTGATCTTCTTGAGTCGAATTAACGTTAATCTGATGGTCAACGCCTTGATTTCGGATCAAACGCCGAACGCGAAGAGCGCGGGTCCTTGGTCTTTGCCGCAAAGTAGATCTTGAATCTTCTCTGCGCCGGTTTTGAGTTTACTAACACAATTCGAAGGCTTGACAGCTTGTTTCCAGATTAAACGTCAATCTTGTGGTTGAACGCGCTTGAATCTTGCTTTGAATCTTCAAGAACACTTGAATCTCGTCTAGTGGATCTCTAGAGCTCATGAATATGAATTATGATCTTTGTATGGCTTGGGGGAGAGACCCTATTTATATGTGTAGGAGAGAGAATCCTATAAGATTTGAGATTTGTATGTCGCGATTTGATTGATCCATAATGATTTACATAAGATCTTCTGGATATACTTAAACTTCTCATGATCTTTTACTAGTAGATATCCTGTGCATATGCACAGATGTACATAAAATATTAGTAAGTAATATTTAAGAATTTAATATTAAAATTCTGGATAATGAACATATTACATTTTCAAAAATTTGATCATTAGGAAAAATAAATTAACGATTTATTATTATGAACATTTGTTTATTATCATTAGATAATAACAATTTGATTATTATTATTATTATTATTAAAAATAATTATTTATAAGATTCTAAAGTTGTTTAACTATGCTATTAAATTAATTTACTAATTGTTTTCAGAGAAATTTTTTATGAGATACAAAAGAAAAAGATAATATTGATGTTAAAATACATAACTTGAAACAATTGTTTAGTTGGTATTAGCAATAACTATTATATAGAAACTTACATGATAACACTCATTAAGATGTATTAATGTGGGAAGTAAAAAATATTAATGACAAATTTTGTAACCGAAAATGGAGGGAAAACATTAGAGGTTTTATTAAATAGGTTTTATTTAATGCTACATGCCAGCAATTATATATACTAGTATTTGATTCTGTGCATTTGCACAGATATAGAATACGTTTTTGTTTGTATTTATTAATTAGACCTGTACTTCTATCATATTAAAATTATTACTTTTTCTTAAGTTATTTTTATCATTTAAAATTAATTGAAATATAAATTTAAATTTTATTTTAATCATGCAACATTTACATTAGTAACATGAATAAAATAATTTATATATTTGTGGCATATTAAGAAAATTAACATAAATAAAAAAATTAATGGTGTTTCTGATTATTAGAAAAAAATATGTGTCAATCATATTTTTCTTCCAACAATGCAACTAAATATAGCGGTTACAACTCTGAATGTGCCAATCAACTTTAAGTTCCAACATTAGCCGTTACACATTTGAATATTTTGCTACCAAATTTAGAATTAATTTAGTAACTGATCTAAAAATAAATAATAAAAATATATTTTAAGGTGTAACGGTTTTAGTAGAATTAATTTAGTAACTGATCTAAAAATAAATAATAAAAATATATTTTCATTTGTGAGTAATTGATGAAAAAATATGTAACTCCTTTTGGAGGGAAATGAAAATAAGTTTTATTAAATGTTTTATTAAATGCATTAGCTGACAATTATATATATATAAATATAGATAAGATATGTGATTTGTTTATCAAAAATAAGATTTGCCACTTGCAATTATTTAATTGGTCAAGAATTAAAATACCAAATATCAATTAGTTAACTATTTAAATTTTAGGAATTAAATACGTGAAAATTTCTAAAATATAAATAGAAAATATAATTTGATTTTTAATATATTATTTCCACCTGGCCATTTGATTGGCCACAAATTTTATATATCTTCAATCCCATCTAAATCTCATTTTTTTTTTAAAAAAAAAATAACAATCGCACGTGATTTCTCCAATTTGCACGCATTTTTTGGAAGAAAAAATTATTCAAAAAGATTGAAAGAATTTGTTTAGAATAATAAAATATTTTGTTTCCAAAGTTTGTATCCCATTTGCAAATTTTTTAAATTAATTTGTATTTAGATTTGTTTTCATAAATAATTGGCCCATTTTTTGCATAAGAATTTCCAAATTTATTACCAAAAGAATAGGATTCAGATTTTGGTAAAAAAATAAAAATAAAAAATAATACCAAAAAAAATGGGATTCATTTTTTCGACATAAAAATTTCTAAATTTATTACCAACAAAAAAAGATTTAGATTTTGTTACTAGAGATTTGCGTGCGTTTTTTTTTTTTCAAAATTTCCACTAATAGTAAGTCAAATCATTTATTTTTTTAATCAAACTTACTATAAAGGTTACCAACAAATTTTTCAGCTGTGAGAAGCAGAAAGACCATCAAAAAACGACGATTGTTCGTGTTATATAGATATAGATATGGATATTCACTGAATTATATTTTTTTTTCTATGAAATTATGAAAGAAAAAAAAATGAATCAATTGGGTCACTTGTCCAGTATTAAGAAAACTAATCAAAAGCAAATACTTAGGTGCGCCCTGGCACACCTAGCAAGGTGTGTCAAGGCATTTTTAAAATGAATATGTTACACAATAGAATGAACATGTGTAAACATGTTTACACATGTTCATTTTATTATGTTTACCATTCCCTTCACCAAGGGAGTGGTAAGCACATGTTTACCACTCCCTTCACCAAGGGCCGGTGACGGCTAGTTAGACCCACACACCGAGCCAAGCAAAGACTGGTAGAATAACGCCCCCGAACCCCGCCGTCTTCACCTCACCACAAAACCGACAGAAGCCCCATAGGCACGAAGGCAAAGAGAATTTTCACCGGCGGCCTTACCCCGTCTCAGCCATAGGAGACGGAGAAGGAGAGGAGGCAAAGGCCGGCAAACTCGAGCACGCAACCGCGCCCCTCACCCCGTAAAAAATAAGCTACCATTACAGCCAATGATCTTACCCAAGGAGGGCAAGCTAAACAGACCTACCAATTTAACCTAGCACATTATGAACTAATATACAGGGGATATTACTAAAAATATTCATCTAGCATACGAGGGAGCATAATCAAAAACAGCATTGCGTACCAAATTCATTAACATGAGAGGAAGGAATATGGATGTGTTATTCTATTAAATGATTTGTAAACCTGACCAAAGATCATCCCCCAGCACATAACAATCAAGAATATGTTTGCAAACAAAACAAACACTTATTTGATGACAATCTCTCAGAAAATGTACAAGCAAGCAATGGAAGTCAGCACGGTTGTCAGCATAATGGAGACGAGATTTACCGCGTTGTTACCGAGCACATTAATACCCGATATTTTCTTCACGGTTGGCCCTGGTTTTCCAACAACCTTCACCAAATAATAACATAATTATTAACAATAATGACGTGATTTTTTCTTACATTAGGTGTTAAAATTTTCTTGATGGGCACAAGCACAAATACTACCATAAAGAAAAGGTAAAGAAAGAACTAACAAAATGCACCCATTTTACGAATTGCACCCGACGAGGGATAAGTTTGAGATTAAGGCAAAATTGGGTTTTTAGTTTGGTTGGTTTAACATCATAGCAATTTAGTCCCAACGTTCCAACATATCGTTTTTTGGTCCTATGGTTTAATATTTTGCCCCAATTTCAGTCCTTTGAGAAATGGAATTGCAACGAATTTCTAAATTCTCAGATTTTCGATTAGCAATTGAGTCCTATAATTTAAAATTATGTTGCAATTTCAGTCTTGTAATTTAAAATTTTATTGCAATTTCAAAGGATTGAAATTGAAGCAAAATATTAAATCACATGTCCAAAAGGCGAAATGTGAGAATCTTGGGACTAAAATTGCTATGTCGTTAATCGAACGGAACTAAAAATACATATTTTTTTTCCTTGAATAAATGATAATATTTGAAAAGAAAAGAAAAAAAAACATTTACCTTATTTCGAACGGTACATATACCGCTGTATTGGAGAGTGGCACCAAGTAAAGAATCAATGACACTTCCACACAGTCCAGCAAGAGCCGAAATCGGTATCACTAACAGCTGTTTCAAAGCTACATAAGAAGTGCAGTTAGTAGTGAGCAATCCTAAGACAACAAATGTGAGCCCGATCACGCTGCCGCCAGCTGTAGCCGCTAAAAGTCCCGCCTTTGTCACGCCACCATTTGTACCCTTCCGAACGGGCTGATTGAAGTGAATTTACACATTATAAGGGTCCAATTCAAAATTTTGAAGAATTAATGATTTCCCTTTTGTTATTCCTCATTTTTGGAGCTGAAAATTTGAAATTATTCATCTTTATTAAAAAAAAGCAAATTTTTTTAGACATCGTGTGGGGCATAGATTTGTGATTAACAGATTTTTGATTAACGATGTTCCCGTCAAAATGGAGGACAAATGAATAATAAAAAAAAATGTTAAGGATTGTGTGTTCACCTTTAAGGTTGTGATCAAGCGTGGTTGCTCGTCACTAAGAACCCCAAGCTCTGAAGACCATGTGTCTCCATTGCAGCAACAATAGTGACCGATAATTCCGCCGATTAAACACGTCATGACACCCGATTCCTTCGAATTCAGACAATAGTCGCGAGTGCCGACCGATTTCCAAGCAATTAAGACCAAGAGTGTGGCAATCCCACTATTGAAGAAAACTTGTATCCTGGCAATGAAAAACTTTTGGCGATTTATAATATGTTAAAAAGTGTGATGTAGAGTAGAGTTTTCCATCACCGCCTTTTTGCATAAAAGATTAATCGACTATTGAGAAAAGAAGGGAAGATATCTGATAAAATCAGTTACGTTTAGATGGATCGTATTTAGGTAAAAATAATTACAACGAAAGGATGGTGAAGCATAAACTTCTACGGAAGATGTTCTTGCAAGGCTCATGAACTAAATAGGTTTAGGGACTAAGTACACAATGTAATAATAGAATAACCTGCCTCCAACTGTTAAGACAGTGTGAACTATACTGATATCCAAAATAGGCTCTAAGCATAAAAAGTCTTAAAGCAATGAATATTGAACATACTTCTAGTTGAGAGGTTTCATAGGAGTTACAACTCACGACTATCCTATATCTAATTAAAGAACTGCCAACAAAACGTATTTGTTCGTGTTGTGAGTCAGACAAACGAGTAGTGTTGGAATTTCTTACATATTTCAATAAAAGCAATTTTCAGATTTCACTGGAAATCCAAGATTCAATTTCCCTATAAAGGAGCTAAGCACCGACTTACTATATCTAATCTTTTAGCCAGGGACTTTGGTTATGTGATTCTTCAATTGTGATCATAAAACTAACTGCCAACCATTAATAGATATAAGGAAGCTTAGTACACATAACAGAAATATTGCCAGAAAAAAAATGTACCGCGTGCCATTTATAAATCAACTTTATTTTCAAATCACGAGCAAGAGAGAGTACCAATTGCGTTGGCCACCCTCTTTGAAATCTGCATCGACTTTTTGCTTTTTGTCCTCTCCAAATTTTGTGAACATCGAGGATGTGAAAAAGAAGACAAGTAGAATAGCACCAAATCTACAATACACATCAATATCAGAAAGATAAGATTGTGCGTGCAGAGAGCGGAAAGAAGTAGTAATTTATGCCTGAACAGAAACGTTATGAGCTCATTAAAAGAAAAAAAAAAACAATTTCAAATTAATATGAGAATGAGGACCTGTAATTGACAGCAATATGAATAGCCATGACAGAAAAACCAGCAAAAGCGCCAGACAGGTCAAGGGACTTCTTTCTATACGATCTGATGGCTATTGCAGCTGAAACTATTGATGCAATCAATGGTTGTACCAAATTTGCCTCCATTATCGACCGTTTTACTCAACTATTGCACAGCGTTGAGAATTTTGAAGTGTTTTTCAATCGCCACCAAACACGAAACTCAAACGAATTTCTATATCAAACGTTTGAGCCCATCAAGAACTGGTGAAGCCACAAAACTATGTTAATCTATGCATCACTGGCTTTGATTTTGTTTCGTTTTCTTCATTCTCTTTAAGCCGTCTTTTTTATATTCACAAACCACACAAAATACAATCACGAGACACAAAATAATCTTAATAAATCTTCTATCGAGCACCAAAACCACCAATCTTTCATCTTCAGCATTAACAGAAACAGTTACATGAAGCAAGACGATACCCAGCACAAGAGTTATATATTGTCCGGTGAAGGTAGAAAGAAAACTCAGCAATTTTCAGCATATCAAAACCAAACACGAAACTCAAACGAATTTCCGTATCAAACATTTGAGCCCATCAAGAACTGGTGAAGCCACAAAACTATGTTAATCTATGCATCACTGAGCTCACCTCAACTCACATTCATCACCCATTTGCAAAACAAATCCCATTTTCAACTAATTTTTCTAAGTAAAAATAAAAATAAAAATAAAAATCCAGACTCCACTCACCTCACAAGCACTTAGGTTACAGCCATAGATTTCAAGATCCGTTTTTTTAATTCATTAATCAACGCCAAAATCCATTCAAGCAAGCATTTTTTACACATTGATGTACAGACAAACACTATAACATAATTAACGAGAACAGAATCGAGAGCATTTACTTCGGAAAAAAAAA